GCCGGAGGGGGGGGGAGCGCTTTCACACGCGTTGTCTCCTGCCGAATGTGGTCCCGGGTTCCCCTTGGATCAGGGCAGGAGGGGAAAGGGCGAGCGTCTTTGCGATGTGTCTTGTCTTGATGCGTTTAAGCTCGCCTGGTTTTCCCTAGTCTTATCTCGCAGAGTAAGCGAATATCTGCTGGAAAAGAGTGAGTGATGGCTGCTTGTTTTGTGAAGGGAGCCTCCACGTGCTTTTCTTTAAAGCACCGGGACTGTGGCACATTCGAGAGCATGTTTTCGTCCTTTGTGCCTAACAGTTGTAACAATGTGTTATGTTGTGAATAAGTGAGAGTTAATCAAAAGGTAGATATTTTGCTAAAAGCGTGGCTTCTTCAGGACGCCAAAATACTGTTGTGAAGGGTTGAGTATAATAAGCGTTTATGAATAAAAAATAAATCATAAAAAAAGGCTCAAAATTGCTTGTATTATGTTGATATTTTTTTTGGTTAGTGGAAAGGTAGAAGGCCAGCCCAATGGTGACACAATCCCAGCTGAGCAAGCCAACCCTTCAGATGACACTGTTGCTGGTGCTGGGAGTCGTCAGAATGATCAGATAGTGCAGAAAATAGAGGAAGTGCTCTCTGGAGCCCTTGATACAGAACTGCAGTGCAAATCAGGTAAATGAAAATCCATTTGGCAAATATGTTCTTGTTTAAGAAGGTTGTCATAGTGCTTAAAATTGAATACATTTTACAGAGATGAAAAACCTTTTCAGTACTCTGCCTCTCCCTGAGCTTCATCTCACAATTTGCATGTTTGTTGTAGTGTTTGTTCAGTATTTTTCTTACTGCTGTGATTTAAAACCACAGATGGACAGAGAAATACGTCATTTAAAAACTGTAGCTGGTTATTATATAAAAGCATTACCTAGTGAGAGGAAAAAGTAATTTTTCTCTTCTCTCCATTACAGTATTGCTAAAACTTGTAACTTAATACCTGAATATAAAATATTTTGCTTTATTTTGTGTATACAGATATTTTGTATATTTATGCTTTATTTTATATATATATCAGGGTATCAATGAGCAGTTCTTAACTAATAAAGCTGGTACTGATGGATAGAAGCATTGTGGTTTGGATTAGTTTGCAAGATGATTTCGAAAGTCATTATTCAGAGCTGTGTGATTATTGTTCTCTCAGAGTAAGATGCTTAGTTGTTGTAAAATCAATAATGTACTTACCTTTAAAATACAGATACTCTTAAATCTTCCACAAGGTTAAGAAATTTTCATGTACCAGTCTTATAAGTTCAATATATTACTTTACTTAGTATGTCAAAAAGTTGCATATGAGTATCCCTTCTTATGGGACAAGACTTTTCTGTAAAAGTTCTGAATCAGGAGAGTTAATGAGATAAAGGCTCTGAATTTCATGTGATAATTTAAAGTCTGGTATGCCAAATTTTTTGGAGTTGAAACATGGGTGACTGCTATGTGCTTGGTAAGTATAGTTCCAGAGTAATTTCTTTATTATTTTTTTTTTAAAAAGGCAGCATAGAAAATTGTTTGTTTCAGAGATTTTGTTTGCAAGGTTTTGGAATTACTTTTTTATCCCCGTTTATTCACAGTAATTTAAACAGTTTTTCACTTAGGCTGTACAAGCAGCACTTTAAGCTGGCTTTTTTAATATATATATATGTGTTAAAGTTTTAAAATATCTATTGAGTTGTGGAAGAATGAGGCAAGCTAATACGGTAATAAACAAAATCTGTTAATATGGAAGTTAATAAACAGAGCCTGTGGTAAATGTTCCTACTCTTCATATCTGGAAAGGTGTTAATGTGGCTGTTGGACAACAGATTATCTGTAAATGCTGTGTAGGAAGGTCATTTGACTCTGCTTCATTGTCCTATTGCATTCACAATGTTGGTGGAAACATTTTTTTGTTAAGCTCTTTGCATAAATCACCTGAGATACTTGTTTATGGAATCTTAAGTCATGTTCATTTAATAATATTGCAATTACACAGTTTTTTAATGATTTTTGCATAGTTCACTTGAAAAAGTATGGTCAGTAATCCCAACCAGATGATAACTGGAGAATCTTCTTTTCTGCACTGTCCAGTATAAATACAATAATTGAAGGCAATCTACAAGCAGACTTCAATATGTGGCTCACATGTAATAGAAATTATAACAAGTTGCCTTTAATGGAAGTGTCTTTCTAATGAACACATAGCCCTAGGTCCAAAGAAGGGTAAGAACCTAAGCCAGGTTAAATTAGTGCCAAATGAGGTAAAGAATGAAAAGGTAATTGAAATCTCCATCTTCTTCTTTTCTTACCCCTCAGTGATTGCTTGTCCCTGCAGTCACCTGAATGTATTAGTTATTTTCCTGTTATAAGCAAAGCTCTGTGAGGTAGCTCCAGTTTTGCAGCTGCTTGTGGCAACTGCGGTTCAGTCTGAGCAACTGGTTATCTGCAGTTCTTTAAAGCTTGTTTGGAATTGGGGGACTAGATGCTTTTTTCCCTCAATTTAAGTACTTAATGGATAAATATGCTTAGATAATTTCTAACATGCTATTACTATCGGACTCACAAGTTAAAGCATGTTAGGGGATAACAGGGTGGCTGCATTTTATGTAATAAGCATACCACCACTTAGATAATTTGTCTGCAGTGTGGGGGTTCTTGTTTCACTTAGTGTGCAGGTTGGTGTTTAAAAGCACACCTCGAGTCTCCTGCCTAGTTGAATATATGTGGAAGTGTGTCAAACTACTTCTTAGGAAGAGTTATATTCCCCCTTGAACTGTGTTGCTGATCAAGAAGATTTGGCTAACTTTTTGAAAGAAGAGTGTTATTTTTACTTAATGTGACTCCTGAGATGAAGGTTAAGAGGGCTGAAAAGGGGGTGTGTGCTATTTGTGTGGTAGTTCAGTGAAGAAGGCATGGGTTTTAAGTTAATTTTTTTTGTCTCTGTACATATGCTTGATGACGAGTCTAAAAGAATTATTAAAATGTAGTTTTAATAACATTTACAAGGAAAATGTTATCTTTTCTAGATGTAGACAAAAATACTGTGAAAAATAGTACTAAGTCTGCAAAAAGAAGCTCTACTGGTGAAGATGAAATTCCTAAGAAAAAGTCAAAGAAGAACAAGAAACACAAAAGCAAGAAGAAGAAGAAAAAGAAGAAGAAAAGAAAGAAAGAAAAAAAGCATAAAAAGCAGCCAAAGGAGTCAAAGTTGAGTACACGTCATGGAGAACATGGAGATGCGCAGCCTGCTTCTCTTTTGATGCCAGAGACAGCAAGCTCCATAGTGAGTGTACAGCATGGAGGATTTGGAGATGCAAATCTGGCTGTCCACGTGCAGCCTCAAGAACTGTGCTTAAAATCAAGTGAGGAACTTGATAGGCAAGCCTCAGGACTTGTTTCTCAGCAATCTACAGAAAATCTTGGAAGCGAGAGGGTGACTTCGTGTGCGACAAATCCTCCATTTAATTTAGAAGGCAGCCAATCTAATATCCAAGGAAATGCTAGTATAACTGAAATTTGCACTAGAGAAGAACAAATGACACAGTCTCATGAAAATATTTATCCTATAGCTATTAATGCAAGTGGAAATGATGTTCTTGTTGATACTGGAAATTATAATTTGTCTTGCATCCCATCTGGAGTTGCCAATAAATCTGAAATTCAGCAAGGTTCATCATCAACTCTAGCATCAGAGGTAACAGAAGTAGTAGAAGGTTCAGAAGCATATCTACAGCTTGTGGCACAGAGGGGAGCAAAAGAATTAGAAGCAACTGCAGAACCTGAGTCTTTAGCAAGTGATATAACAACAATTCCTACATCTGCAGGTCAGGCAGATCTGAATACTGTGAAGGTAGCTCACATGTCTGTGGCTGTGGAAGAAGTGAAAATTCCAGAAGCAATGCTGCATATAGGTAATGTGAAATATTTGGAAAGATCTTTGGAGTTAGAGGGTGTTAGCAGAACTTTGGAGCCATCCCTGAAGCCTTCAGTTGGATCTGATGATTTCAGTGCAATGCAGTGCAGCCCCACAGAGGGTTCAAGTGTCTTGAAGGCAGATGTATCTTTGCAACATCCTTTTAAAATATCTGCAGTGACTGCAGTGACCCAGGTGGAAACAGAAAGTGCCAAAATACCCCTTGGACCAGGAGCTGTTACAGAAGTGAAGGATATTGAACCAGCTAGAAGCTCTGTGCCCAAAACCTTGGTAACAGTCATGGAACCTGTTGGTATTGCAGCAAAAGATGTCAAAACAGCTGATCCTGTGGCAGTGCTGAATGTGTCAGAAGTGTTCCTGCAACCTAAAGTCTTGACAGAAGCAAGAAGTGTGGATAGAACCCAGGAATCTGCACTTCCAACAGAAATGACAGATGTGAAATTGGTTGCAGGAGCAAAAGATCTAAGAACAATCTCAGATCCTGCAGCAGTTGCACAGACCTTTGTTCCCCAAAGAAGTCAAGCTACTCTGCAAATGGAAAATACTAATGCTTCAAAAATGTCAGAATCAGCTCTTGAGGCTGTAGCTGTAACAGAGGCAAAAGATTTAGAAGCCGCTTCTTTATTGACACAACCAGAAGAGCAGAGAGAATCAAGATATGAGAGTGAAGCAACAACAGCAGTGTCAAAAGGTAGTATGACAGGAGTAGAAGTGGGCTCAGATGCAGGTCTTCTAGCTATGGAAGCTGGATCTGTGAGACCGGTGAGAATGCTGGAAACTACTCTAGGACCTGTAGCAGAGACAGAAAGGAAATACTCAGAAGCAGAACTTAACAGAGCCAGGACACAGATGATGACATCTTCATCACACCTGCATGGGACAGGTGCAAAAGATTTAGGAGATTCAGCCTCTGTAGGTGTGGCAAAGATACAAGCTTTGGAAGCAGTCTTGCAGCCTGGAACCTTAGAAGAAAGGTCAGAAAGGACTCATGAATCTGGGGCTGCATACATAAGCATGGAACCAATTACGCATTTGGAATCCACAGCAGAGAGAGAAGCCACTGCAAAATCTAGAGGTTTAGACAATTTGTCAGAAGTTGAGGCAGTTGCAGAGATAAAAGATGTGGAAGTGAGTTCAAAAACTGTGCACTTAACACAGATGAAAAATTTGGAAATGGTTATGGGATCTGAAACAAGGACACTAATGCAAGGCTTGGGAAGGACATCAGCATCTGAGGTGTTTGGACAAGTGAGGCATTCTGAAGTTGTGCCAGAAGATCCAAGCAAAGCAAAGACCATGAGCAAAGAAGTGATAGTAGAACCTGTGCAATCTTTAGAAACAAGTTCAAAATCTGTACAGGAACAAATAGTAGGCCATTCAGAAGCAGTATCAGAGTCTCTGCCCAGAATGGAAGAAAAAAATATGGCATCAGAAATAATGACTGAAGGAGGAAACTTGAAAGGAACTTCAGAATCTAAGATTTTGACAGATGTGAGAACTCAGGGACCTACTGTAGAATATATAATTGCAACAAGAAGGAGAAGCACACACAAAAATGAGCCCTTGCTTTTAAATGAAAAAGATTTGGAAGAAGCTTCAGAAACTGAGCAAGCAGTGTCTGCAACAGTAGAGGTGAAAGGTTCTGAAACAGTTGAAGAGCCTGAGGAACACATGGATATCCAGGGTTTGGAAGCTTCCCAAAATTCTGGAAATGTGACAGCTGTGAATGTTTTAGAGGATGCTTCAGAATCTTTGCATGCTGAAAAGCAAGAACATCTACAGGCAGTTCTAGAAGCAAAACTTGCAGCAGAAGGAGAGGAGGCCTCAGAGAGTGCTGCTGAAATGAACATTTTTGAAGCAGTTCCAAAACCAGGGGACATGAATGATCTGGAAACAACAGTGGCAGCAGAAGTACACTATGTGGAGGAGGCCCAGGGTCGACAAATGGAGGATGTGGTAGTTCCAGATCAAGCTCAGGAAGGCGAGATACTGGTTGAGAAGACAGATGAAGAGCAAACTCAAGCATCTGAGCCTTTAATAGCAGAAACGGTTTTTAATTCTTCACATGCAGCAGATGAGAGAGATTCAACAGAGACTTCTGAATCTGAAGTAATCAGAGACATGAGTCAGATGGAAGCAGCTCCAGCTCATGTGGCAGAAACAAAAGACTTAGAAACATCTTCTCTTTCTGAGACTCATGCAGAAGCAGTCGTGGGATTGGAGGCAGAGGCAAAAGATGTGGAAGCAGCTCCATTACCCGAGGCTGTTACAGAAGTTGTTCCAGTATACGAGGCAGAGGAAGGTGAGTTGGAAGTCCTTCCACAGGCTGAGGCCTTCAAAGAAGCAACTCCAGAAGACGACTCAGAGAAAAGAGATTCAGAAACCTCTGATGTGCAACCTGATGTGGCGGCGCGAATGAGAGAGACTCTGATGAGACTTGAGAAGGTTGAAAAAAGTAGCCATAGAAGCAGTGATAAAAAACATGATGCAAAGAAACAGAAAAGGAGTCGCTCCAAGTCTCAGTCCAGGTCTAGGAAGAGGAAGAAAAAATCGAGGTCGCGTTCTACTTCCAGGCGTTTGACTTCTAAAAGAGGACGTTCTAGGAGCAGAAACTATTCAGATTCCAGAAAAAAGCATTCCAAATCTAGATCCCGATCTGTGGAGAAGAGAGTGTCTTCCCGGAGATCCAGACGCAGACGGTCCAGGTCATCTGACCGTTACAGGTCTAAATCCAGATCAGCAGAGAAGAGGTTGTCCTCTGGGAGGTCCAGACATAGACGTTCCAGGTCTTCTGATCGCTACAGGTCTAAGTCCGGGTCAGTGGAAAAGCGATTGTCCTCCAGAAGGTCCAGACATAGACGTTCCAGATCTTCAGACCGCTACAGATCTAAATCTGTGTCAGTGGAAAAGCGACTGTCCTCCCGAAGATCTGGACGCAGACGTTCCAGGTCTTCAGATCGCTACAGGTCTAAGTCCAGGTCAGTGGAAAAGCGACTGTCCTCCCGAAGGTCGGGGCGCAGACGTTCCAGGTCTTCGGACCGTTACAGGTCTAAGTCCAGGTCAGTGGAAAAGCGACTGTCCTCCCGAAGGTCTGGACGCAGACGTTCCAGGTCTTCAGACCGTTACAGGTCTAAATCACGATCAGTGGAAAAGAGACTGTCCTCCCGAAGGTCTGGACGCAGACGTTCCAGGTCATCTGACCACTACAGGTCTAAATCACGATCAGTGGAGAAGGGGGAGAGCAGGTTGTCCTCCTGGAGATCCCGCCGCAGACGTTCCAGGTCCTCTGACCGTTCTAAATCTAGATCCAGGTCTTCAGAAAAGAGAGGAGGCAAAGAATATTCATGGAGGTTCAGAAATAGGTCCGTTTCTTCTGATCGTTCAAAGTCTAGGTCAGGATCTGTTGAGAAGAGAGGTCGGAAGGCATCACTGCGGAGGTCTAAACGTCAGCACTCAAAGTCCTCTGACCGTTACAAGTCTAGATCCAGGTCAGTAGAAAAAAGGGATCGAAAGCAGTCATCACGGAAGTCTAAACGTCAGCGCTCAAAGTCTTCTGACCGTTACAAGTCTAGATCCAAATCAGTGGAAAAAAAGAAGGAGTCCTCTCGAAAAGCTAAGCGTCGCCGCTCAAAATCTTCTGAACGTTACAAGTCTAGGTCTCGGTCTGTTGAAAAAAAGCGCAAAGAATCTTCAAAAAAATCCAAACGGAAACGCTCCAAGTCCTCTGATAGTGTTAAGTCAAGGTCCAAATCTGTAGAAAAAAGAGACAGTAAGTTATCCTCAGTAAAAGGCAGTAGCAAGCATATAGAGTCTTCTGAATTTCAGGAGTCAACGAAATGTCTTGAAAAAGATGATGTTCCTGAACCTTCTTTTGGAAGTGAACACAGCTCCACCAAATCCTCTAATGGTCCTATGTCTGTTGAAGGACTTAATGGCCCAGAGCTGCCTCCAGCATCTGAAGGTGGATTTCCCAAAACTTCTGATAGTGTTGATCAAAGCTCCTCACCTGTAGAAAAAACAGTGTTTGAATTTGATAGCTCCAAAACCCCAGATAACCAGATATTGGAATCCATGCCTGTGGAAAAAACACAGGTTTCAGAGCTTTCTGTGATGTGTGAAAATGGATCAGCTGAAAAAGCAGTGTCTCTGGAGTCTTCATCACTACCTGAACTTTTGTACTCCAAATCCAAGTCAAGATCTCCATCCGTTGAAAAAATCAGTGATCCAGAAACTTCTTTGGTAACAGAATTTCAGCTTTCTGCATCCCATGAAGATGAGATGAGATCTACCTCTCTCAAAGAAATTGAAGGTCCAGAGCCTCTTCTGACTCTTGAAAGTGGATGCTCTGTATATTGTGATGATAACAAGACAATCTCCTCATCTGGAAAAACTGAGGTTCAGGAGCCTTCTCTGATATCTGAAGGTGTACTTTCTGACTTGACTGATGGTCATGAATTGAGACATATCCCTGCTGAAAAAACAGAACCCCAGAAGTTTTTGCAAGTACCTGAGAGTGAATCTTCTAAGTTGGCTGACAGCCCTGAGTCAAGGTCACTATTGTTTGAAACAGCAGAGGCTCAAAAATCTTTTGTAGCACCTGAAGTTACATGCTCTGCGTTCTCTAATGTCTCTGAGTCAGCCTCCATGTCTATGGAAAGGGGCCAGATGCAGGAGCCTTTCCTAGCTTCTGACAGTGGACACTTCAAATCTCTTGATGGACATGAATCAGGATCCAGCTTTGCTGCACAAATAGGGGAGCTTCCCAAGTCACCTGATGGAAATGAACAAATATCCTTACCTCTTGAAAAAGTCAAGTCTCCAGCTGTTTACCGGACATCTGAGTGTGGTCAGGTTGAAATCTCAGATGTTGTGCTGACAACTGTAGGACAAAGCTGTAATTCTTCTGAAGTTCATGAGTCTAGATCGTCTGTTGACAAAGATTTAGATGGTCCAAGACTTTCACAAGTACTTCAACACCCTGAGTCTTCTGAACTGCATGAATTGAGGTACCTGCCTGATGGAAAAATAGAGAGTAAAGGATCTTTTGTGTTGTCTAAGAGAGGGATTCCTGTGTGCCATGATGGCCATAAATCAAAACACAATTACTTGGAGAAAACGGAAGGTGCAGAAGTGTCATTGGCATCTGAGCTTAGGTGTTCTCTCTTCCCTGAAGGCTATAAATTGACATCCACTGCAGTTGAAAAAACCGAGATACAAAAGCCTTCTCTCCTGGAAAGTGAGTCAGTAAGCACATCTACGGAAAATCCAGAGGCCCCAGTTAGTTCTCTGACGTCTGAAGATGGGATTTTCCTGTTGCCTGATAGTAATGAATTGAGACCTATCCCAGCTGAAAAAGTAGAAGTGCAGAAGTCATCTGAGCTCCAATGTATAGTCTCCACTGATGGCCACAAGTTGAGATCTGCATATGATGAAGAAAATCAGGTACAGGAGTCATCTCTGATACTGGAAAGCAGATACTCTGTTTCCTCTGATGGTCATGAGTTGACATCCACCCCATTTGAAAAATCTGAGGTAGAGGAGCCTTCTCAAATATCTGAAAATGAGAACACAGTAGGGCTCGATGGTCCAGAGTTGACGTCAACCCCTGCTGAAAAAACAGAGTTGAGGGAACTTTATCGGATGTCTGAAGAAAGATGTTTAGTGCCCATTGAGAGCCAGGAGTTGCAGTCACCCCATGTTGAAAAGATAGAAATGCAAGAGCCTGCTGTGATTGAAAATGAATATGCTGTATCTTGGGAGGGCCAGGAGTTGAGATCCAGCTCACCTGAAAAGGTAGAGATGCAGGAGGCTTCTGTAGTACCTGACAATGAGTATGCTGTGTCTTCAGATGATCATGAATTGCCTTGTTCCCTTGCTGAAAAATCAGAGGTACAGGAGTACTTGCTGTCTGAAAATGAATATGCTGTATCTCCTGAAGTCCAGGAGATGTCAGCCAGTCCTGCTGAAAAAGAGGTGCAGGAGCCTTCTCTAACATCTGACAATGACTATGTTGTTTTCCATGAAGGCCAAGGATTACAGTCTACCCCTGCTGAAAAAACAGTGGAGCAGGAGCCTTTAGTAGTACCAGACAGTCAATATGCTGCATCCCCTGAAGCACAAGAGTTGCTCTTTTCTCTTACTGAAAAAACAGAGACACAGGAGTGTTCTTTGCTGTCTGAAAATGAGTATGATGCATCCCCTGATGGCCACGATTTGAGATCTAGTCCTCCTGAAAAAGAAGTAGTGGAGGAACCTTCTGAAACATCTGAAAGTGAAAGTTCAATCTCCACTGATGGCCAGGAGTTGCAGTCTACGCTTGTTGAAAAAACAGAGGTACAGGAGTTGTCTTTGATGTCTGAAGGTGAATGTACCATGTCCCCTGAAGGTCAGGAACTGCAGTCTAGCCCCACTGAAAGAGTAGAAGCTGAAAATGAACGTGCTCTGTCCCCTGAAGAGTATGATTCAAGATTGACTCATGCTGAGAAAACAGAGGGAATAGATTCTTCTGTGACACCTGAAAATGACCATCTTTTGTCTTTTGAGAATGAAGAGGTAAGATTTACTCCTGTTCAAAAAGCAGATGTGCCAGAGCTGTCTCCAACACCTGAAAATGAATGTACAGCATCCTCTGATGGACAGGAGTTGAGATTTCACTCTCTTGGACAAGCAGGCAGTCTGAGACCTTTGATGCTAAATGATAAAGCCTCCATGTCGCCTGATGACAGTGATTTGAAATCCACCCCTGTTGAAAAAATGGATGAGGCGATGCCTGAAAGTGGATATTCCATGTCCCCCGATGGCTACAGTGTGAAATCTGGCCCTGTTGAAGAAACAGGGGATCTAGAGCCCTCTTCGATATCTGAGCGTAGGCATTCCACATCCTCATATCAAGAAAGTAATGAGCTAAGATCACCCATGGAGGAAGAGGGTTTGGAGTTCTCTTTGGCTTCTGAGCATAGACGATCTGTGTCCCCTGAGGGCCATGACCAGAAATCTACCATCGATGAAGAAGCAGATGATCTGGCACCCTCTTTGACATCTGAACATAGGCGCTCCACATCTCCTGATGACCATGAGTCACAATCTAGTGGTGAAGAAGCAGAGTCTTTGGAGCAGCCTTTGACAACAGAACGTAGAAGCTCCATGTCCTCTGATGAGCATGAGTCAAGATCTACCACTGGGGAAGAGGTAGAGGATGCCGAGCCATCCTTGACAGCTGAAGGAAGAGACTCCACATCCTCTGATGAGCATGAGTCTGCCACTGGTGAAGATGTAGAAGATGGGGAACCCTCTTTGACAGCTGAACGTAGACACTCCACCTCCTCTGATGACCGTGAGTCAAGATCAACAGCTGGTGAAGAAATCGAGGATTTGGAACCTTCTCTGACAGCTGAACATAGACATTCCATGTCTCCTGATGGACGTGAGTCAAGGTCAACCACTGGTGAAGAAGCAGAGGACCAGGAACTCTCTTTGACAGCTGAACGTAGACACTCCACATCCTCAGATGAACATGAGTCAAGGTCTTCCATTGGTGAAGAAGGGGATGATGTGGAACCCTCCCTGACAGCTGAACGAAGAGATTCCACATCATCGGATGAGCATGAGTCAAGATCTACCACTGGTGAAGAAGCAGAGGATATGGAAGCCTCTTTAACAACTGATCACAGACGTTCCACATCCCCTGATGGGCATGAATCGAGGTCTACTACTGGTGAAGAAGGAGATGATGTAGAGGCCTCCTTGACAGCTGAACGAAGAGACTCCACGTCTTCAGATGAGCGCGAGTCAAGCAGTGGTGAAGAGGATGCTGAGCCGTCTTTGGCAGATGAAGATAAGCAGGATTCTATGCCTCTGGAGAGATCGGAGGAACAGGACTCTTCCTTTGTACCTGACAGGCGTTCTGAGTCTTCTGAACGTGAAAAATCTAGATCCAAATCTGTTGACAAAGTATCTGACAAAGAGTCTTCACGAAGATCTGTAAGCAGACAGTCAACATCTCCTACTGGCCAAAAGAGTCGATCTGTATCTGTTGAAAAAGTGGCAGACAAAGAATCTTCACAGAGGTCTAGACATAGGCGCTCCAGGTCTACTGCTCTCCAAAGGAGCCGATCAACATCTGCTGAAAAAGCAGCAGACAAAGAGTCTTCACGGAGGTCTAGACGTAGACGCTCGAGGTCCACTGCTCACCAAAGGAGTCGATCTAAATCTGTGGAAAAAACAGCTGACAAAGAATCTTCACGGAGGTCTCGAAGTAGACGCTCTAGGTCTTCCCAGCGCAGATCCCAGAGATACGATACAGAATCTCGTTCTAGACGGAATCGCTCCAGATCAGTAACACGGAGAAGAGCATCAAGATCAAAATCTAATCGTCGCTCTCGCTCTAGCTCATTGTCACGTTCAAGGCATAGGAGGAGGAGTCGGTCAAGATCAGCATCAAGAAGGCGACGTTCTTTATCAAGAGATAGGCGTAAGAGATCTCAGAGGAATAGGTCTAGATCCACTGACAGACGAAGAAGAAGATCAGATTCGAGAGATCGTAGAATATCAATCAGATTACGGAGCAGGAGCCGATCACCTCTTCGTCAAAGGCGATCAAGGTCAAGAGGAAGAAGACGGAGCTCTAGTAGGTCACCAATTCGACTGCGTCGATCAAGATCTTCAGGGAGAAGAAGATACAGCAGATCACCTGATCGTCGTAGGTCGAGATCATCAGAGCGATTTTCGAGCAGGTCACCTAAACGTCTTACAGACTTGGGTAAGTGAGAGTTTTGTTTTCAGTAGTTCCATGATTAGGTGATAATGTGCTTATTTACATGGTCTTACTTGAGCATAGCTCTGTAGCGTAAGGAATTCCTTGGAAGTCATTTCATGCCATTACTTTTCGGTTGTGACTTCTAGTAGGATCTTTTATGTTGGAGCCAAGTCAGTGGTTACCATTTGGATGGAAACACATTTAGAATGGGTTATATCTTGGTTATAGAGTTTTTATACAAAGATAGTGTTTTGCAGTCTTGAGGAACACCATTCATTGTAATAGTTAGCAAAAGCTAAGTACTCTGTAAGAAACTTACAGATTTCTAGTTTTCCCGAAAACAAATTGGTCAGGAAAGACAATTTGAAAGTAAGTGCCACTTGTACAGTTGGTAGCTCTGTCATCAGCTGTGATGCTTGTTTCCATTACTCTGTCTTGCCTCTTTCCCATGGTAAGAACTTGATGGGAAGGGAGACTTGTTCCCGAAAATATTCCTAGACCCATCTGCGCTTTTCTTTGTGATTGGAAGAAGACAGGATACATAGTTTCCTTAGGTAGTAAGCTACATAAGGAGAAGGAAGGTTTTCGTTTTGAGAGGCAAGCTCTTGTACAGTGTGTGAAGAAGCCTTTTTGTGGACCTCAGGTTCTAATTCTTTTGGTCCTGCCTACTAAGTTACTGTAGAAGCCCTGCTACTGGAGAAGCATTTTTGTACAGAACATGGGAATTACTAAGCATCCTTGAATCTGCCTTCATGCTTTGATTGAGCAGCAAGTCTGTACCTATATACTTTTTATTACTTAAGAAGTAAAGCAGTGTTATCCTTTTAGGAATGTTGTAAACCTGTATGCTTACAGAATAGTGGCAACTTACTTATTTGCAAACTGGCAGATGAAGTAAGACTTTAATTTTCATTGCCTATTTCTGTTCTAAAACCACCTGTGCCGTTTTCCTTAAGAGAGCAAAATACTGTTTAACAGCTCTGCATATAACTGTACTTTTTACAAGTGCACGTCTTAATTCAGTGCTTATGTTTTTCTGTTGGTTTGTTGTAAATAGTTTTCAGGCTACGTACCAGAGAACTTGAGGGGAGTTCCTTAAGACCTTCGGATGCTTTTCAGAGACAGCTAGAAGTAGACTTTGGCATGTATGCTGTGTAGAAATGACCTGGTATTTCTGAAACTAGAATGCTAGTGTGAAGTAGAATAGGTGTCAGAACTTTCAGAGTTTGGAGGATTTTGAATACCGTAATTTGGACTCACATGCTTTATGTTAAATTTGCAATTTCACTTGTGTGCTGGCTAGGCCAGATTTTAAAGTCTGGAGCAACGAAGTATGATTTTAGTTATTTTCACAAAACATAAACATTCATGTTTTGGGTAAAATCTTATGTTTCCTCATTGTACTTTGCTTAATGTGCCAGAAATGCTTATTTATTATTAAAACAAGACTCTAAAAATATATTTTTTTTCAACCCATTTTTGTAGACAAGGCCCAGCTACTTGAAATAGCCAAAGCTAATGCAGCTGCCATGTGTGCTAAGTCTGGTGTTCCCTTACCACCAAGCCTGATGCCTTTGTTATCTCAGAAGAAAGATGACAAAGCCAATCAGAAGTCATCAAGAGATACACTAAAGGAGCTCACTGAGGTAAGTGAGAACTGAAAAGAAGCAATTTTTTTTTTTTTTGGTGACTTCTAGACAAGTTGTCATTTTGTGTCCTTGGTTTGAATGTAAGATGGCTTGTGGTTTGAGCTCTTGTTCTCTATGGTTTTTTTAGTAATGAGAACAGGCTTTTTAACTCTATGAAATGCATAAAATCACATTCTTTTGCCTTTTAAAAATTTTGGTTTTATTCTGTTCTAATGTTTTACAAATTGGTAGTTGTTCCTTGCAATCCTGTTAATAGAAAACAAAGCTTTTACTTCCAGCTTTTGATTCTGGTATTATGTTAGTGGATTTCATGTTGTCAAATGTGATATCTCTGGGTTAAAAATCTAGGGCTTACTTCACATGGTTTTCTACATCTTAATATCCACTCCGGGATATTTTTAGCAAATTACTGGTGTTACTCTGTCCTGCAACAGTTCCAAGTCTATTTTTTTTTTATTTTTATTTTCTTAATTGGGGGAGGGGAAATGGTACTTCTCCTTTTATTGTAGTAATGTTACCTTGTTCGGTTTGCTAGTTTCTCCCTCTGTTGTTTTCCCCAGAAACTAGAGAAAATTTGGAATGAAAAGAAGTGGGGTTTTTGGTAGTTTTTTAAAAAATTGCATAATCATTGTGACAGTTCTGGAATATGTTCATGGAAATAACAAATTAAACAAGGTCAAGTTGCTGAAAAGTAATCTCTTAGTTGTGTGTGGCCTAGTGGTTGCGGAAGTACTTGTTTTATTAATACAAAGCTGAGATGGTGTAGATGCACTGTGCAGACATCTTTGATGATTCTTCAGGTAATCTGACCAAGGTCCAGTGTATCTAGTGCTAATCTGGAAACTTAGCCTTTCCTTGTCTTTTCTTACTCTGAGAATCTGAATGTTGAATCAGAATTGTCCACAGCAGCAGTCCAGACCATTATATGATAATGTGGCCAAGTGGAGAATCCTTCCAGAGGCTGTTCAGCTTCTTGCAAAGCTAGCTGAGTTATCTTTCCCCTCTGCAATGTAACCTGCAAACTGGACAACCTGCTTAAAATTAGGAGCCAACTAGTAACTGTAGATAATACTTCCTCTTGCTTAGCTTTCCAAATAATGCAGGCTTTTCCTGTTGACTGAAGAGTGTGCTTCAGTCATTGTTTGAAGGCATCTCCGCATAGGAGAGTGCAGGCATCCTTTTTTATTAAGACTGATGAGAACAGTGCTATCAACTTGTCTTGATTTCTTAGTGATGGAGCAGCGTGTTTGCTCTGTATATGCCAACAGTCAGGTGATCCAGTGTATGTGACTTAGAATGGTATGAACTTGAACTAGAATGAAAGAAAATGATGGTTTCACTTTGCTGATATAATTTCTTCCTATTATGTCCTCAAATGTCTTCTTAGTCTTGGAAGTGTGATTCTCATGAGTAGGGATGTAATAGAAACCTGATACTAGACTATAGTGTTCTCAAATGCATTTTGGACTAAGTACATTATATTTGCTATTGGTAAACAGTGCAGGTAACTGTGATCAGTAGAGAGCTTTTCATAATAAAATTCTAGCCTTTTTTCTTTGTTTTGTTTGTTACTGTTTGTGGAGGTTGTCTTCTCATTCAGTTGCTGTATCCCCATAGCACCTATATATTTTATATTCATCTTCTGTTGAATATAAAAGGAGGATGTCTTGAGTGCCTGGTCAATGTAAAAATATTTCAGAAGAAATTCAGGATCTTTTAGATCCTTTGTTTCTGACTAGGTCCCTTCCGTATTAGTTGAACTTAGCATTAGTAACATGTCGCAGTTTGACTCGGGATTGGCAGTTAAACCAGAGGTAACAATGCTCTAGATCCCCTTCCCTCTCTCCTAGGTAGGGAAGAAGAGATAAAATTACGGAGACTTTTCTGGATTGAAAACTAAACTAGACAGCTTTAATTAAACACTAATGATAAAAGAACATACATACAATTATATACAAATGCGTTCAGGAACGTGCAAAAGCTTCTTGCCTCCTCCCACCCCAGCAACTCCCCTGGCACTCTCCTTAGCTGCAGACAGGAGCTGATGTTATGAGGGTCAGGAATGCACAAGCCTAGGGATCAACCATGATAGATAGAGTCCTCCCTGGATGCCAGCCATGGACAGAAGAAAAAGCAGGAAGAAAGATCTCTGACCTTCCTCTGAGCTTATGTAGATAGATGGAATGGAATAGTTTGGCCAATTTTGCTGTCCGTCTAGTCCAGTCCGGCCTCGGCGGGGGGTGGGCACCATAAATGTGACTCTCTTCCTGGTAGTGTCTGAGGTGGCAGGGCAAAGATGTGACCTTGGAATCTCAGCTGTAACGTAAACATTCCAGTGTTACCAGTCCACTAGCTGGAACACTTGCTGCTTTTTAAAAGAGAGCTTACTTAAGGAAAAAAAAAAAGTGAGTAAAAGGAAAGCTGGCTTCATCCTGGCTCAAAAAAAGGACGTAACTATTAGGTTTTCCTGTGTAGTAGTTTTGTGAGCAATACTGCAGTTTCTATCAGATTGCAATATGCTAGTTGTATGGGATGCCAACCAGTTGAGTTCCTTTTCTAGAATGTTTGCAGCCTCTGACACACATTCTGCAACTAGCACTTTGTAGCAAGTTTTATATGTATGCTGCTGGAATCTTATGCCTGTGAAATATTTGCTGCATGAATGCCTAGTAAACCTAGATATGGGTTTGATAATGTGTGTAAAACATCAAATGTACATATTAATAAGATTTTTTTCTCATATTATGCCTCTTGCTTTAGAAAAGAAAAACACTTTTCTGTAAAAATGGGTTTTTTGGTATGTTTTGGTTGAAAGTTGTATCCTTTTTGTTTTCTTATTTGGTGGTTTTTTGGTTTTTTTAATTAGAAATGCAAGAAGATTGCTCAAAGCACGGATGATGTGATAGTGAACAAACCTCATGTTTCTGATGAAGAGGAGGAAGAACGTCCATTCTATCATCATCCTTTTAAGCTCAGTGAACCCAAACCTATTTTTTTCAATTTAAGTGTGAGTACTTCTTTAACGTTCAATATTTTAAGTTGTGGGTTTTTTTGAAATAATGTAAGTAATTTTACAAAATTAAACAGAAATTACAATCTTGGTGAAATTGCATGGGGATGTTGTACTCTTGAACTGGGATGTTGAAGTACTTTTGCTACAGTAAGAAACTTACCTGCAGTCTGTTTAATTTCATTAGTGTCTTTGCAGTATTTAAAGCTTAAAGGATTGGTTTTACTTCATGTTTTCATTGCAAAATTATCAGTGTGAATGTACAGCCAGCGTTGGAATTGGGGAATGCTTTTAGAACAGCATTGTTTTCCTTTAAAAGACACCACAAAAACCCCAAGCAGAATTTCAAAAGCATTTTGAGTTGTTCTAAGTAAGAGGATATAATCAGATTTGTGCAGACTGCAAATTGTGTTATGTCTGGTTCTTTGCTAGATCTCAGGTGTTCACTAGAGTGGAAAAAAGTTAGTTTTGAGATTAGCCAACAGAGAGTTAAATGCTTAATGAGAATCACTGATGGAGCCTATTACTAAGAGGATATATGTGTCCCACTAAATCGGGTTCTTTGGGGACTGCTTTTGACTCAGTTGGAGCTTGTGTTGATGCATTCTGGATATGAACCTGGGCATCACAGGCTTTGCAGCATGGATTAGAATTTGTCTAGATTTCTTTTAAACAGTTGTGACTTTGAGGGCTTTTTGTGCCCATGAAGGTCTGCTCTGAGTTCTCAATATGCTAACTGAAAATGTAAATAGCATTTATATTTTGATGTACAAATATACAAAACTTGTGGCATACACAAAATTTTTACGGAACATGCAGGGTGTAGAAATAGATTTATACTTTATATAGCACCATTAGAAAGTGTTACGATGAGACTTAACAAACCTTGGGATTCTGTACAGGCCTCAAAAGAGGAATGTGCTTTAATGGTTAGGGGCTGCTCTGCCAATTTTTACGCAGTTTGAAACTGTGGAAACAAACTCTTGCCCTTCTCTCTGGTTTCCAATCTTACTACCATTCCTGCCCATTTTTTTTTAATTGAAGGTTTTTACCCAATATTGTCAGCTCTGTTTGTCTCTTGCAAGGGGAACTTGTCAGAGATTTCTGTGGACTCCTAATATATTAGTTTTCTAAGGAAAACAAGCTCATAGACTTAATTTACTTTGAGATTTGTGCTATTAAAAATAATTAAAAACTAGAGCACAGAATGTTGCATACTGTTTTTTTCTATTTATAGTAATCTAGAGCTATTTATCATTATGTGGATATTGCAGGCAGTGTTTTTTCTGCCTGGCATTTTTATTTTGGAGCTTGCCATTACAAAATGCATGTGTGACAGATAAAGATTGTTCTCTTTATAATGGGGTGGAGGGAAAGCAGGGATGTAATTGTGAGACTGATGTTTTATGTATTTTTGGCTGCTGAAGCCGACTGAAGGAATTTTAGCTTCTAGCTGTTTCATCTCATACTTCTTATACTACATTTTGTTGCTCTTTTGTGTGTTTTTAGGGCTGTGCTAAAATGATCTGTTATAAAGGCTTTTGGTTTAATGTTAGTAAGAAGGATAATTGTTTTATGAAAACTTCATATCAAGTGTGTGCAAGAAATTGTTTCTCAAAGACATACTGTGAGTACTGTGTGTTTTCAGGTTTTAACTTTTTCTAATTTATTTCTTTAAGACTCCCAGCATAAAACCAGCACCACCACCACAACCAAAAAATCAGGTCAGCCTGTCAAAGGAATTTCCTGTTTCATCTGGGTCTCAGCATAGGAAAAAAGAAGCAGATAGTGTCTATGGAGAATGGGTTCCAGTTGAAAAAGGCAAAGAAGATAGCAAGGATGATGTTTTCCCCAAACCAGCCATTGAGGTAAGGAAGGAAAGGAAAGCCTATCATATAAGAAAACCAAAACCATTGCCTGGTCAGTCTGGTACCAAGTTGTCTGGGAAAAAAAAACGGATACAGAGGTAGTATCTTAACACTTGAATAAGCCAACTCTCTGAACTGCTGTGGTCTTCAAATATGGTCACCATGCTCATGTGGACAATGATGAAAGCAGCCTGTGCCTATGCTGTGTGCTTTTGTCAACTAGTGACTTCTTTGTCCCAATAGAATGTAAGATGTTGCTTGAAGATGAAAAGCAAGTTTCTTGCCCAGTTAACTGCAGAGGGTAATAGCCTAAGTTGAGACTTCCGTAACTATAAACTTAATAGTAATTGAAATTGCCCTGCCAATCTGGGAGCAATAACATTGCATTGAAATGTAATCCATTTAAAGTAGATTTGGAAGTAGTTTTTTAAACTACCATTTCATCTGGATGTATCTACTAATTTTTTAGCTTTACAGTCACATTTTCTTACATAGTTGTCTTCCATGTGGCCTTCCAAGGGAATATCTGATTGTATGTATAATAAACTTAAAAAAAAAAAAATTCCCCTTGAAATGTCTTCAAAAGGATATTTTGTGGGGTTTTTGTAATAAAGTAAATTAAATATTTAAGACAGATGTAAATTTCTTTTAAGTTAATCTGAAGACTTGTTCTCATACCTTTCAAAGCAAATAAACACAAAAGCTTTGGAATCAATTGCTGATGAAACAGTATTTCCACTTGATATGTTTCGTTTTTCAAGAACTTTCTGAGATTGTACAGTTCAGTTCCTGAAGCACAGAAGGTAGTTTCTTCTGTGTCTCTTACAGCACCAAAAGGACAGTGAACAGAAGTAATTCAACAGATGTTTTCAGGATATACCTCAGAATTTTACTGTCAGGCACCCAGTTCATTTTTACCTTAGTGTAGATGGTAACTGCTGCTTGTTCTTTGTCACAAACCACTAATAAGTCAAACATTCTGAAATGTTTGTGCAAAACATCATTCCCAGTTACTAGCGTGTATGTAACAAGTCCAGAGCATAGAAACTTTGTACACTGACATTTGGCCATGTTTTTACTAGCTTGTAATAAGTCTTGTCCTTCAAATGGTTAATGATACACTCATAGCTCAGGCAAGCTCTGTAGATGTCTTCATCCAGGTTGCCAAGGACAGTAGGCTGATGTCATTGACAGATTGGGTTAGCTAAGCACTGATCATTTGTGTGTTGATTGTGTAGAAGAGGTCTTAAAAATTGACATTGGAGTAAATACATTAAACATAACTTTCTTTCCTTTCTGTCACGTGTACCTTTATAAATGCTTGTAACAATGTTGTCTGTTTTACATTTTGTAAATAAATATTTTTATTTGCTCTTACCTTAACTTGGTTTGTGTTAAGGGTGATTTCAAGGGTCATTAGTTGACAGCAGAGCACTCTATTCTCTTGGGTTTGGAAATCGTTTATTCTGAAATACAGGAATACTCTTGTTGTAGCAGAATCCCTGTATATTTCTTCAGAAGGTCTGAAAGGTAACATAGTGCTTCTCTGCTTCCTTTTTTAATGCTTTGTGGATGAGCTGGCTTTCTCCGAGCAAAATAAGCCAGATAAGCTCCCTTGCTGTTGAAGTAGGGTAGTGCGGGAGTGTGCTAGGATCCTCAGGAATTGGCAGCATATAATTTACCTCTATTCATAGTTGCTAATTTTGAAATCTGATTGTGTCAATTGTGATGCAAGTCTATATTGACAGTTAAAAATATGTAATTTAGTTTATTATTATTTTTATATTCAAGTCACAGAATTAGTTAATGTGAATAAGCAGTCTGGAAAGGCCATACTATTAAATTATGAATTGTCTTACTAAAGCACTATGCTCTTAATATAGTTGTTTCTGGTAGTAGGAGATGGAGGAGAAAGTTTGGAGTAATCTGAATTATCAGCATGTCTCTAGAGGCCAGAGAAACCTATGGAAATGAAGCTATATTTGAAAGTCTAAATGTATAGAGGTGAAGTGTACTTAAGTTTGGAGTATACACAGAAAACTATTATGCAGAGAAGCTGTTGTGATCTAAAAATGTAGCAAATATCTATGAAGTATGTAAAAAATGCCTGCTTTCTACTGTCAGCCTCTCCTTCTTGCTTTAGTATTTGTGACTTGTGTCTGTGGGGAACATGTTATTAAAAGCCAGGATTGGAAAGGCAGAACTCTCTGGAGAATAGCATGATGAAATTTAAACTGTTTTACTTGACTAAGTAATAACAACTTTTCGTACTTCAAGCAGAGATTATTTTTTTTTTCCAAGATCCAAACCTGCCATCGAGTGTGTTGACATAATACAAAGCCATGATGGTCTCCAAAATGGTGACTGACCATGTGGGGGAAGTGTATGAGAATTCTAACTAACCAGGGTATCTACTAATAGGCCCCAGTCCGGTAAAGCACTAAAGTACATATATATGTTTTAAGTATGTGAGTGGTCCCAATGTGGTTTCAGTGGACTACTTGCATGCCTATGTGTATTGTTGGATTGAAGCTTTTGGTGAGTAGAATAACTTTATTTATCTCCTGAACCAGTTTCACAAATCAAACATTAAAGAATTGTTTTAACTGTGTAAGGGGAACTTATTAACACCAGAAAGCTTGTGTTGTAAACAGGCATTCTTTTAACATAAGTGACTGTCATGTTAGGTGATTGTTAGAAAATCTTTTACTTGTGCCTTGTTTATGATCTGTGTTTTTGTCAGCTGGGACAATAAACGCTAAAGTATGTTTCATAGACACATAGGTGTCTATGAAATAGTCTGATTTATAGTCAGTATTATGATTAGTCTTTGCGGGTTTTAAGTCTATTTTGGTCAATGCCAGATGTTTCAGCAGTGATATACCCAACAGAAGTACTTTCTGTCCTCAACAGTAAAAAAGAATCCCCCAGTCTTAAGAAAAAGATATAATGTCTAGAGTATAACAACAATTAGTTAATTTTATGCAACTGTAGACATTTGTGTCTGTCTCTTAGTCTTTTTCAATACTTACCAAATTGTTGACGTGCTTCCTGTGATAGGGGTGTTGTGGAGTAACTGTATTTTTCTGTTAAGCAGAGTTATTTTAAAATTAGTTTCACTTTCTTCTGCTGGTCCTTTATCCTAGTATAATGTAAGAAACTGAAGTTATGAGATACTGACTAACAAAAGATACAAGTCTTTTGTAATACAATTTAAAAAAAAAAAATTAAACCATGAACTTATTTGGTGTTTATATGCCATGTGCTGCTTTGATTATTTTTCCTTCTGTGCTTTGAACAGTTCCAGCCCTTTCAAGTCTTCTTCAACAGGTCGTCTTCGAGGAAATTTCACTTATATCTGAGCACTGTTCTTATTTCAAAATAGGATGATCCATAGATGCACATCATCTAAGAACAAGGCACAAGTCCTTTCATAAAATAAGAGATATTTACTAGCTGTAATTTCTTGCATCTTTATATTCCCCAATTTTTTAGACTTCTCTCTTGATTTCTTTTCACATGGTAGAGGTTTATATTTTACTTCTTTATTTGCTCCATATTTTTACTCAAACAATTCTGACTAGTGTGTGCAAGAAAGTTTAAAATTTATTTTTATTGAAATTTTATTCTAGTTCAGCAGTACTGATCTAAATAATCCTTTCCAAAACGGTTTTATGAGCTACCAGTCTAGTCTGACTTATATGCAACTCTGCTTTAGACTGCAAATTAAAATTTGAAACACTAAAAGCATGTTCATGGAATATACGTGATTCTTGCAGTAATGTTTTTATACATAAAACATGAAGTTTTAGTATGGCTTAATAGAAGGTTGCTGATGTGAACAGCTCTGTAAAAAGGCATTTTTAAAAATTCCGAGCTAAATGCCATTTAATTATGTTGCTTAATAAGATTCCATGGAACAGTAGTATGCTTCTCTGCTTATAAAGTATTCGACACTACAACTTGTGACCAAAATAGTTACTTGAAAATAATTATTTTGGTATTTTGTATGTACAGGTGATTATAAATTACCAGGGTGTTTTAACCTTTAACCTTTTTAACCTCAGATTTTTTATTTGTTTATGAAAGCCCATATTGTGTACACTGAGCAAGGAGTCCCAGGATTTTTTTATATTGCCTGTTTATATATCAAGCCAATTATTTAATGCATAAAACAGCTTTCTAGTACTTGTAGCATTTATTCTATGAAAGTTGTGTCTTTTTTTTCCAGATTCAGTGGGTATTACTGTGATCTGATTTATTTTTAAAAATCGTTTCTTTCTTCCTAGTGCGTGGACATAACTACAGCTATGAATGATCGAGCAATGGCTCAGAAACGGCTTAATGAAAACTCTTTTGATTTAGAGGCCATGTGCATGTTAAATCGTGCACAGGAACAGGTATGTTGCAATTTTTCAGGAGCATTTTGATGAACTTTAAGTGCTTACCCTTCATGCCAACTGTTTTTTCTTACGTGTTTGATTCTATGATTTAAGTATAGATTTTTGGAAGCTCAGCTTACGGACGTGTTGAAAAACCCTGCCTTTATTTTGCACTTTATAGTTTGCTTCATGGTTTTCTTGACTTTGAGCTCAGGTTTTTGGGTTAACATAGAAAGATGCTCAGCTTTTTGAAGTGTCTGCTTACACATGAGAGTTAATGAATGTGGTACTAAACATAAGTGAGAAATCTGTGAAAATTACTGAGAAGCAACAGAGAAATGCAGAGGAAAAACGTGAACATTTTTATTTTGGTCTTACACTGATTTTTATTTTGTAGATTGATGCCTGGGCTCAATCAAACTCCATACCTGGCCAGTTCACAGGAAGTACTGGAGCACAGATACTGTCTTCAGATGAGCTTACCAACAGTGGTCCCCAAGCATGGATTAGAAAGGTAGAAGTTATGCAGATGTTCTTGTCTAACTATGACGTTTTAAATAGCTACAGAAGTATCGGAAAATGCAAAAAATGTGCCTTAAAAACCTATGGTAATGCATGTGTCAAATACAGCAGGTTGAGTTAAGTCATTGTCTTTGAACAATTTAGATACTTGGCTGCTGCTGTGTCCATTTTGTTGTGTATTAAGGTGTTGTTCATGGCATAGAGTACTTCAATAAGGTGTGCGTCTGGTATTTGAGTGAGATTGGTTAATCTATACTGTTACCTTACACTGAAGTGATGTTTGTGATATTGGCATGGTCGCAGTGGTAGGTCCATCACTACTCTTATGGGATTGGGACAGATCAGGCAAGGTTTGATCCCCATGTTCTTGAACTGAGTGATGTTTTGGCATCAACTGCAGTGAACCAAGTCCCAAACTGTCATATTGTTTGACTTGGTTTTATCTGATTTCTACTTTGCCTCTATATGTATAACTAATGTTTTCTAGCCAGAGATTTGGAATGTTAAACCAGGGCTTGGAGCTGAGTAAATAAGTTTAAATGTCATTTTACAGCGAAATAGGTACCTCTTACTACAGAGAAATAACTGGCTTATTTTTGCAGTGTGGTGTGTCATACATACGTGTGTTTTGTAAGTTTAATAATTCATGCTTCATCTTCGAAAATGAATATTGAACTGCTTCTCTTTCAAGAAGTAGAACTGAGGAATTAAAGCAATATCCACCTTTCAGGCAAAAGGAGTAATGAATTATTGCAGTCAATCTTGCAGGTAATGTAGTTGAGTGTACACTGTTGATCTGCTTATCCTTTCAGAATGCAGTGTTAAGACAACCTGCAAAACTGGGAGGTCAGGTTTGAGGCTTAGGTTGAATTTTCCATAGAACTTGGTGTAAACAGAGCACAAAGATCTGGGATTATCCTAAAAATAGCAGTATTTTTGCCAAGGTTCACTAACTTGTTTTCCACTTTATATAGCCAAGCACTACAGAGAGCCAGGTAACGGCTGTCTGTTGAGAGGCTCAGGTTACTTGCTAGATGGGAATCTTTTGAGCTTTTCTCAGTATTAATATAAAGCATAGATAATAAAGTCTTATTTTAACAACTTTTGAGGTTATAGCAAGGCATTGGCTTTGATGATTACAATAATTGGCCCTGGGAGAGGAATTTAGAAATATAAAGCACTCAGCAGAGGTATTAGTGAGAAAAGGAGAGCTTTTCCACCACCAGACTTGTGAAAGAGATCAGCAAGCTATAGAAGGGTTCTCCCTTTCTGCATGCCTTCAGTCAGTTCCCAAGGCAACAAAAAGGGAGCATCTCTCATAATCTCTTTCCCAAGCCTCCTCATCCCTTGAAGTTTTCATTCCTTGAAGTCCTTTGGTCGTCTTCTGTGCCTCACAGTAACAGGAGTGTCTGCTAACAAAAATTAAGTGGAGAAAGCAAGTGCGTTTTCCCTCCATCTTTTAACTTCGCTCTGTGATCTGCTTTAAGAAACAAAACAACAACAAAACAACAAAGTGTTTTATAGGGAGAAAATGAGAGAAGGGACTGTTCTCTTGACTGGACATGACATCTGTGAGGAACAGAACATTTTGAATATGGACATGGAAGTGATCTGTCAGAAGCACTTCGGTCTTTTCCATAGCTGTAAAATGTAGTCGTTTGCAGTAGTCGGCGTCCTCCCTAGCAAGCATCATCTGGTTTGTCAGAAAGGAGGCTGCTACTGGAAACGAGAAGAGTTCGGTGAAGAAGATAAGGACACAGTCCTCTTTCCTGCTCTGGCATTCCTCAGCTTGACTTCTTTTGCTTTTTCCAGGTTCCATGTTCGCACACACATTGCCATCAAACTCATGAAATGACAAATAGTTACAGTCATGTGGCCTCTACAAAATATGATAGGGGCTACACAAGACTCACCCTGTGCTTTTTAACAATGGTGAGGCCTGTGAAAGCCTTCAGAAAACTTAAGTTTGATGTACTTAATGTGGAATCTCCTCCTGTGGTTAGAGGATAATTTCACAGAAAAAGTGAAGTAGGGATAATGGGTTATGAATGCATGTTATCTTTCACAGTGACATAAATGCAAACCAACCATGAAATGCAAAGTACATGTTGTATTTTATTTAGGCACGTAAGTTGTGTAACTTAGTTCTTGCTTAATATGTGATGTAGCACTGAGAAGTCAGACTTACACTTCCTTTTTTTTTTTTTTCCCCCTAAGAAAATGCATTTTAACATTAAAGAAAACCAGTATTTTTAAATTTTTTGTCTAGTAGGGCTGTGGAGTTTCTTTAGGTATGTTGCGTGTGTAAATTAGTGCACGTTTCTGACTGAATTGTTGTTTCCTGAAGGCACTTTTCTTTGGAGAGTGCCATAAGCAATTGCCATAAGAGGACTTGTGGATGTGCACTGTTCAGCTGAAACTGAGCCCATGTCAGCTAGTTACTTGTGTATCAAAGAATTAGAACATGTGTAGAAATTACTCTTGACAGAGATAATCACAAAACTAGGTAGGTGTAACAAAACAGAAGAGTAATGTTAGGAGGATAGAAAAATGAAAATACTTGGGAATCTTGCTTGGTAAGTGCTGTCTTCACTTTGCATTTCTTGGACTTCAGCTTTTTTTTGTACTTCAAAAATTACTCTGGAGAGGTAATATGTACTCAAACCAAAATATGTCTGCAGTTTAAATTTTATCTCAATAAAGTTTTGAGGAAATTAGTTACTGAAGCGGTTAACGTGACGTACCTGAGTGATTGACATACCAAGTAGAAGTATGATGTCTTTTTCTGAGTAATGTGCTAATTCATGATGTTCATGCATAGGGTTCTGAGCACTATTGATGAAAGAATCATGTTAGGTTTCTCGTATCATTGAAACAGATTTATGAACATTATTATCTTTCTCTTTTGAAAAGTGGTTTCTGTTTCAGTTTATCATCAGTGGTGTAATCAGTTCACAAATATGACTTGCTTGTTCTGGAGGTTGTTTCTTTTTTCTTTCCTTTTTTTCTTACAAATAAAAATATGCTGCTAAGTAAATGTCAAATCAGAGGAAGTGCTCAATTTTTTTTCCAAATTCTGTTGAGGTCTACTTACTCAGACTTTCCCAGACTCACTGCTTGTTTCTGGAATCATCAGCTTAGTTCTGTAGTCTAAGCTTGCTCTCCAAAACAATGTTTTTGCAATGTTTTACGTACACAGGATAATGCTTGGCATCTGTTTCATTCAGTTGTGCTAAAGCAGGACACAGTTTTACACTATAGTCGTTGTGTAGCAAGTTCTAAAAAGTTAAAGCATTCCTTCCATTCTTCCACAGTCATAGCAGATGAGTAAAACTCAAGCTAACAGTGGAGGTAAATTGTGATTTGTCTTGTGATTGTCACTTGCACAAGAACTGTTGACCTTCTAAGGAGGCCACTTCCCAAAATATTTGTATTCTTGTTGCCTTATATGAAATGAAGGCCACATAGCAAGGCAAATCAACTATACGTTAGTTAAATTGGACTGGCTCCCATTCAGTCCTCAAAATTGTTTTTTTTTCCAGCTATCCTCAGTTTGCTTGAAGCTGTGAACAGAAATCCTGAAGCTGATTGGGAGCTTAGTTTTTGTAAGGCATTTGCTGGGATTCTTCAGAAATGAAATCTTCCTCCTGTATTGGGGAAAGAATGTGGCTGCTGCTAAAAGTGCCAGTTGATTTAATGAAAAGGTTTTGCCAAGGATAGATGATTGTTCCTGGTAATTGACTCGGATAAATGCTTTAGAGTTAGTCTTGAAGTAACCTTTAAGATAGTCCATTGTGCTATAAGTTAAACTATCCACCTAGTGCCTTTGAGGCTTTGATACCTGTTGCTTAGTAAATTACTACTAAAAAAAAATACACCTTCCTTCTGACAGAGCTTAGGCTTTAGTGCCATGTCAGCATTGTGAGAAGGAATGTGATGCTGTATTTTTCAGTTTCTTAAAAAATTACAGCTTTGATACTTTTGTATGTTGTGTGTACTGTTTTAGAGATTGTTCAGTTCAATGCAGTATGCTGTCCTTTTCCCAAAGACAGCTGTCGCAGGTAAACAACAGTGACTGTCCAGCTTGTATTGTCTCTCAGCAAAAATGCTGTAAAATCATCTTTCAGATGTGATTTTTTTTTTGCTGTTCCAGCCCTTAATTGCCCATTTAAGTCATTCATGTCCCCCAATTTTTTTTTGCCCTAATATATATTTAAAAGAGGAATAGTTTTGATTAAAACTACTAAAAAACTCTCTTACCTGATTGGGTTTTACTGTGTAGCAATCTAAAGGAAAAAGTTGACATAAGAATGTGGCTTATTAGTTGTCTCCATCTGCTGGCAGAATGGAAGTATGCTTTATTTGGAGCTCAAAAGATGAGAAAGATTGTATTTTTTTATTTATTTAGATTTACTCAAATTTGGATTAGTGAACAAGAGTAATAATTTTCTAAGTAATTAGAGAATTCCAACAACAGTAATCAAATACTGAGAAACCCAGGAATTCATGATATTACATATGCCTCGATTTGATGTCTTCCTCATGGCCCAAATCTTGCAAGGGCATATAGCTTCTAAATAGTTTTGTGAGACTAGGCTTCTTAGGATTTTTAAAACTGAAAATAAGTTAATATCTTGTTTCCCTGCTCTTGTTAACTTTTCTACTATTCTTATATTTTCAAATGTGATTACAAACACAGCACTAGTTTTTACCTGTGCTCTATTAAGTCATAGGCTGAGTGAAGTTGTCTGTCATTAAGTTACAAAAAAATTAGTCAAAGTGAATATAGCTGTACAGATGATAATAGATATGTTTAGATTATTATTTTAAAGAAAAGGCCCTGCAAACCTGAAATAATAACTTTATTGACCTATTGAAGGCTTTCTTTGCTTCTTCAGTAAACGGAATCAAAGTAAGCTTTTCCTGGCTCCTTTTTATATTGGTACCAGAAATAACTGCATTTAGCCTCTCAGCGTGATGCACACGTACAGCTATTCTGTCATAAAAAAGAGCTTGGATTTCTAATTCTTTGTTGTCTTGATTCTGTTGGATGTATTTAAAAATCAGCATAGTGTAAATTCCTACTGAAGTTAGCAGATAAAATTCTGAATTCACATATTTCATAATTTAGAATTATTTCCAGTTTTTGGAATTTTTTCAGACTCTGGTAACTGCCTTGTAGGAGCTTGGAGCTTTGATTTTTAACTATGAATAGGAGTATTCTGATGCTGTTCTCTCCTTTCTCTGCTACTCTTAGCTCTCAAATTAGTACATTTGCAGGGGTGATGAGAAAGCTGTGTAACATTAAAATGACCTCATCAAGAAATTGCACTCTTAACATTTGTGAACTGAATACATGCTGGTGATAATGAAACAGGTGTTGATATTGAAAATTCTATCATTGCAAAGCAGGTACAAAAGAGGAATCGGAACCCAGGGTGACATTGACTGGGGTTTGTATCATTCTCGGCATGGTTGCCCTTTTCTTATGAGAGGTTCCTGGAAAAGAGAGGGAAGGATGAAAAAATGGAAGTAAGTAAAAGCCATTCTAGGTGTATAGATTGAGGCAGTTTGTATCGAAGAAACTGATTGTCTCTGTGTACACACACACACTACACTGCATGGTCTGCACCAGTCAGAAAAAGAGTTGAACTGGAGAGGTGCACTTAGCCTCTCTTCTTCCATCAGAGCACTTTGTTACTGAATGCAGCATCCAGTTGCATGATTGATAGGTATTTACTGGTTAATAGGTGAATATTTGGAGAAGTCCTTCCACAATCTTCAATTATTTTTAAAATTTTTTTAACACCATGTAATAGTGGGGATTCCACACATCTGCGTCATTAGTGTGTGTCAGTTGCCAATTTGAAATCCCCTTAAAAATGACCCTTAGTCTCTGCAAAAGTAAGACTTCTGGTTTTGCTTATGTACAAATCCAAAGCAAGGACTTATCAGTCCTTTGTCCAAATCTGTGAAATGCTTTTGCAAGCACAACTCAAAATAAAGCAAAGAAAAGAAATTGTCCTCTATTGATTTGCTTTGATAGTAAGTAAAATTTTCACAGAACTACTAGGCATTGTATCATCTAATGCACTATGCGAAATAACTGATGGACTTATCAGTGCCAGTGTGTAAACTTGTATATTTTAAGGCAAGCAATTTTTTGCTGTGATGGAAATGATTGACTTACTTACTTGGGTCAGCGGGGGGGACAGAAGAGAGATGATAGTTCACAGAATAACCTGTGAACTTTCACCCCTCTATATGGAAACTTGTTTCAGGGTCAAATCCTTGTAGCTGCCTTCTTGCCACGGTCAATGCCAGCCCTACTATTCACAACACTGCGGCCATCGAGGCCTAGGTACGTAAACATTTAAGGAGTTTTTAAAGTTCTTTACATCAAAACAGATTTTTAAAATTTCTGTTTATAAGCTTTCACCATTTAACAACTATTATGTTAATGATGATTTGAAAGAATGTGAAGACTACTGCTGCTAAACTGTGTGGCTAAGCGCCTCTTTTTCCTTTAAAAAAAGAAGAAAAACCTGTATTTTTCTTGTGGATTTTCAGAGTAGAACTTGAATGTGCGACTGCTGTATAATAAAATGGGGAAACTTTTTTTTTTTTAAAATATATTTTAAAATACGCGTAATCACTCTGTGAATGTCATTACTAAATGTGCTTGTATTTTGTTCAATAACTAGGTACACTTGGCACACATGTTGCCAGTTAAACAGTTAACTCTGCCTCCTTTCACAAGATGCGAAGAGATTCATTGGAACCAAAGTAGCGTGTTTAAAAATGGACGGTTATCATTTTATTAAATACATATGTCTGAAATGGGTCACTTGCCGCTTTTGGATTGCATTAGAATTTTCTTAAGTTGTTCTTTTTTGAAAGTATTGATTTGTGTTTTGTGTGTCTGCGTGGATTCTGGTTTATGCAGAATGTTAATGTATATAAAGCTAAGGTGCATTTTTTTTTAATCGAGTCTGTAACAAGTTGTTAGAAATGTTTTTTGGAAGCTCCCACTTACATTTTTAAATCTCAGTGCTAACTTCAGGACTTGTTTTACTTTTCTTTTTCTGGATAGGATCAGTTCTTAAGAGCAGCCCCTGTAACTGGAGGAATGGGAGCTCAACTGATGAGAAAAATGGGCTGGAGAGAAGGAGAAGGGCTTGGAAAAAACAAAGAAGGCAGCGTTGAGCCTATTATGGTTGATTTTAAGACGGATCGAAAAGGTAAGCCTGTCCTTAAATGTCTTAGAGCAGTACAAAGATCTCATGTCTGTTTTGGAGATAGGCAAAATACCTTGGAAGTAGTAAGCTTTTTCTGGGTACAGCTTCATAAGAAAACAAGCAAAACCAACCAACCAAAAAAAACCCCAAACAAACAAAGAAACAAAACAGAAAATAACAGCAGAAAACCTGGTGACAGAGTTATTGCCAAGAAAATACTTGAACAATATTTTGTTGCTTTTGTAAAGCTCTTACCACTGAAGAGATCCTTCAGTTTACCTTGATTAGTATCAGTCAGAGGGAAGAAATAGAGAACAGTCAATTTCAGTAGTATTTTCTCAAGTAACCTCTGTAACAAGACAATGGATTTTTCTGGTGAGGAGAGAAGAATTAGCTCTGCTCATTATGTTGCTTGTTGCTTCTCCCATCATGGGAAAGAGGCAGTATTGCTGGACGATCTTTGAACACTTTGAACATTAAAGACATATGGGTGGTACACAGCTGTATCACTGCTCAGGTTTCCAGTTCTATAAGTGTGTCCCAGGATCCTCACGTGGCTTCTGAGTAGAAGTTTCCTTAATACCTGCAGAACTTACTATCTAAGTTTCAAGGCCTAGAGCTGGGCATTCTCTAACAAGTAGTTTCCTCTTTCTGCTTCAGACTTGGTTTTCAGCAATAATTAAAATGTTAGATGGAATTAAAGGATGCCTCTTTGGTCTGTGATAGATTGATCTGAAAATATTGGTAACCTTAGTGATGGTTGAAAATGCAACCTTACCTGGTAATTTTCACAAAAAATCTAAAGGTGTTTGGTGTTGGTAAAAGAATTTTTTTTCATGTTGAGCCAACCAGGTCTGTAATATGGGGTGACATCTTGCATTATGAAGAATCGACATGTTCCATGTGTTACAAAGCAACAGTGATTATACATCTATGACAAGTAGCTAAAAAGCTTCTTCAAACATCAGTGTTCTTTGATATTTAAATGTGTAAAAAGTCATTTTGAAGTTCTATGTAGATGTTTAAGGAGAAGTCTGAAATTTTAAAAACTAGTATGTCTGTTATGAAGTAACCCAAGTTTTTGTTTTGTACGGTTTTTAAACATATTTTTAGAACTTACCCCTAGATGAAATACTATTTATAGGAACAAGCAGTTTGCTGAGTTACTCAGCAGGCTGCACTAAGACATGAAAGGTTATCTGCCTTTTCTGTAGCTTTCCCTTAAACTCTTGTTTTTTCCAGACACGGAGTGAGATCTGTAGTTCTCTCTCAGCATTGAAACCAAACCTTTCTTGAGCTTTGCTGTCAGCCAGTAAATTGTTGGTTGTTCATGTTCAAAGAAACTTGGTCCATTAGCAGAGCTTGTTGGAGTCTGGTGCAGCTTTTTTGAAAATCCTTCCTGAGGTACCAGGAACAAGATACAGAAGTCAAGTGTCAGTGACTTAAGAGTGAGGGAGACGCAGCATCAGTGGGGAGAATGACATAAGAGGTTTTGTTGTTTAGGTTTTATTTCAGTGAAAATATTTTTATTATTTTGAATATAAATTCTGTAAGGAAAAAAAAAAGCTTTTTTTCAATGATAGTTTTCTGTGAGGGTTTCATGCCACTTGACAAGTCCCTGCTTAGGAGCTGCATGAATATTAGGATGAAAATCTGGTAAGGAGAGAAGGTTCTTCCTTTAGAACAAAACAAAACAAAATGCCAACAAAAAAAATGCTGATGGAACAGTAAGAAACTGGAAACAATTGCAGTATCTCCCTGTCTTTATGCACCAAAGCCAGGAGCAGAAACAAAAGTGAGGTAAGAAACAAAGTAATACTGAAGGTTTGAAGTCTGAGAAGTTCTGGGAAGCTGGTCAGGTTTTTTTCGTTGTTGTGTGGTTTGGGTTTTTTGTGTTTGTTGTGGGGGTTTGTTTGTTTTGGTGGGGTTTTTTTGGTTTTGTGTATTGAAAGTAATGGCAGAATAAATGGAAAGAAACTAGAGTCACTTCCTAAGCATGGCATGGTTATTTGCTTTTGATAAATTTTTGGTAGTTGTTACATTTTATTCCTTACTTTTGTAAGATTTTAAAAAGAAGCGTGATCATCTGAGGTGTTTCACAGTGACTTCCCTTGGAACTTGTGCTCTTTGTATTGACTTGGGGTCCAGCTGGATGCTTTTCTGCTACTTCATATTCAGAGGGGATTGAAATTGTGGTAATCGGGCAGTGAGCTTTCACATAAAGGATCAATATATGAATACTGTTAAATAGAGCACATGCAATAAGAACACTGCTGTGTTATTTGTGCCATAAGAGGACATACTAGGAACACTTTCTATTGTTTAATGGAAATACTTAAAATGCTTAGTATGTTAGGAGCAAACTGCTAAGGTAGTGGATCACTTTTGGGTTGCACAAAACAAGTAGTAAATGAGTGAGTTTGAAGTTTATATCTTGTTCAGTGTTCCTCCAAACCAGTGTTCCTGGTTTTCCTCCATGGAAAACCAGGTGTTTCCTGGCTTCCATAAGACTACTCAAAAGTTTTCTGGCTTGTTAAGAGCATTGCTTGAGCTGCTGAGAAGAATGTTATGTGTAGTAGGGAGGGGAAAAAACCAACACTGGATGAAAGGGAGGTTTGAAAGACTTCTGAAAAGACAGTTATATCGTGTCTCCAGGTTTCATCTCCGCTGGTATGTTACTGCTTTACTGAGGAGAATACAGAAATCAGGTGGGAATCACAAATGTAAACTGTATTGTGTTTTATTTAGGGCTTGTTGCTGTGGGAGAGAAGGCACAGAAGAGATCCGGACATTATGTTGTCATGAAGGATCTTTCAGGTGAGATTCTTCTTTGTCTAAAAAAAAAATATCTCTCTCTTAAAATGATTGCTTTGATATCAGCATTGAAATTTCAAATACATTTTATCTTTAGGTAAACATCCAGTTTCAGCATTGATGGAGATCTGCAACAAAAGAAGATGGACACCACCTGAATTTGTGTTGGTGGATGATAGTGGGCCTGATCATCGCAAACATTTTATCTTTAAGGTGCGATTCAGTTTCCTTATTTGCTGTTTTTCTATTAAAAGTGATAGAAATTAAAATTCGTGTTTGTATATAAGTGTATAAGCCACCTCGGGTGGTTGAGGACTGCTAGGCAGTGTCTCAGTGCTAAAATTTCAGAGTCCTCTTTCTGTAAAGGTCAAATCAGATCTCTCAAGCACATGAATCTGTAAATCCATCAAGAATAACACTGCTCTGCTTCTTACTAAAATTGCTAGCCTAGGTGCTATCATATTTCTTGCAGTTTACTTGCAGGTGTGGTGTTAAATCTTACTGCTGCAAACGTAGTAAGCAAGATTTAGTGATTTTTGTCCTTTGCTTATAGAATGCGGGCTTTCTTTTTCGTGTTGCATTAGCAGTTACTATTTGGAAATGGTTTTGCTTACAGGCCAGATGTGGTTTTTGTTTACTCTTAAGGAGGAATTACAGAGAATGTGGTTAAAGGAGCTGTGTTGCACTGCCTTGTAACAGAAGTGAAGAGGTGCTTTGTAACTCTTTTTTCCTCTTCTTTCATCAACAGGTAAGAGTCAATGGAAATGAATATAGGCCTACTTTTGCCAGCCTTAACAAGAAGCATGCTAAAGCCACAGCAGCAACTGCGGCTCTCCAAGCGATGGGACTTGTACCAAAGGAAAGCATGGTTAATACCACCATGTTTAGGAGTGCCTCACACCGCTAGATATTGTTTTTTTTATATTGACATTATTTCAGATAATTTTACTCTGCACAAAAATGGTATTTGCCCTTTCATGTTGTAAATACATTGGCAATTCCCACGTTGTAAAAACTGTACAGACACCTTCAGGTTTTTCTTTTGTACCATCAAAATGTATTTAAATCATACTTAGTTTTTGGTATGTTTATATTGTTTACATTAGTGATGTAATTATTTCTTAAATGACTAAATCAGACGACAGACTCTGGAGGCATCAGTAATCTAAACCCTTGTTTTAAAACTCATGCAATTTCTCTTCAATACGGAATGTTAACACTTTCATACTGTTTTGTACTATGCTGCAGTTTTCCCTGGTCTCGGTAAAGCTGCTCTTGCACTTTTGCCGACAGCTGGTCAAAAGTCCTGCAGCTTCACCCTCGTCTAGTCGAGGCTGGCGTGTACTGCTGGACAGATACTGGGCCAGTCCTGTCACCCCTGTGAGAAGGCCTGCAGTGGCAGTCCTGTTGTACAGTGATCACCCTGCAGCTTCTCTTTGAATTTTGCCTGGGGGGTTTTAACTCAGTGGTGCACTGCGACTGGCCACACAGCCCATCGTTTTAGGACATACGTGATTAGGCTACAGACTTGCTTCCAAAGGAGTGGCAGAAAGTCCAGCAATGGAACCGGTGAGACCTGCAATGTAAAGGTGACTCTCCCTGCATGTTCTGAGAAGGGAGATGGTGGAGTTGTCTTTTCCAAACAAATTAACACACTGCCTGATGTTGATTGTATGAATTTGTGGTTAATGTGAATTTTAAACTCTTAACAAATCTACAACTGGATTTGGGGGTGGGGGGAGGGGATAGAATGATGCTTAAATTGTTGTACCCAACTTGGTCAATAAAGCAGCACAAGTTCATAATCTTAATCACTGGTCAGTAAACAGTAATTAAAATGTATGCCAAAAAACTTTTTGAAGAAACGCACAGTATAAAAAGTATGATTTATGAAGATTATCAACAGCCGTTAGGGTTGCAGAATCAGTTCTAGTTATTTTTGGTTGCTTTGGACTATTACCAAATTAACTCCTTGGGCTTAAATTTTCTGTAATGGTACTCTGCCCTCAAGGAGATAGCCTGATCCAGAGTTCTGGCAGTTTGACAAGGGAGAGGATGTAGAAAGCTTTTCCTTTTTTTTTTAATTTAAGAAGTAGTAGTACTTTAGCTATGTGCACTTTGAATTGGAAAGGGCATTGTGCACCTCTTGCTGAATTTGTCCGAGTTATGAGCAGATCACCAAGATCTATGGACTCAAATAGTTCAGGTGCTTATTTCAGAGAAGTCTTTTTGAAGTCTCTTTGTATTACATCTGCTGACCAGAGCTTTTCTGGGTCAGGAAGAAAATACAGTTTGCACGCAGTTAAGGCTGTGCTCGGGCCTAAAATGAGTCGACTTTTGCAATGGTAGTAGGAACGTAGAGGTGAAGAGTTACTAGTACCTCTTCTTACACAAAGTAAGGTGACTTGTGTGTATTCAGTCAACTGTTACAGAACAAGGTGTCTTTTTTTTGCCCTAAAGGGATATGGATCAATGTCTTATGTTGTATACAGCAGAGAAATGGTATTTGGTTCTCCACCACATACTTGCAAGAAATAAAGCCCCTTACTAGTCTGTCAAAGCGCTCTAGAAATGCCTAAGTTAATCTTAATTTTCATGGACGTAGTTGTCTTCAATTAAAAACTTTTTTCCCTTTGGCTTCTTGCTTTTGGTCTCTGACTAAGTATTTTAAGATCTCCTTACCTTGTTTGCCGAACTAGTTGGAAGGTGTGTATTAAAAAAAAAAAAGTCAGTGTGATGGTACAGCAATGGAAGGATCTAATCTGGGAGAAGTGGATGTTGTATCTGCCCTAGCTGATGTCTGGCTTTTTGATGTGTGACTTAAATTAACTTGGGATGTGGGAGCAGCTCCTAATCAGATGTTTGTTTAAATGTCTGGTTTGATAGAGCTGAAGCATGGGAGGTGTTGATCATTCTGTTTGGTCTGTTGTGTCCATGTAAGCACTGGTTTCATAGGTATACATTGTCACATCTGGGAATATTTCAATCTCTTTTACTTGTTCTGTATTCCCTATGTATAATGTAAAGACACGTTACTTCACAGCAGCAAGGAGAGAATTAATTCAGTCCAATTTAAGACCCCACTTAAAAAATAACTATTTAGGCAAGTTCTGGATTTCATGCCTTAAAAGATGTGTGTGGATTTAATCTCTGGTCTTAAGGAAGACTTATAAAAAAAGAAAATAATTAAGGTCTGTAATGCCCTAATTATTACACTTGTTGATTTTGAGGTTTCTGTTTCAGTTTCATTCCTTGTTTAGAATGGTATATGAATATAAAGCTAGTGCAGCGATGTGCTTCTGTTAAATTTGTAAATTGAAGTGGTTTAAATGTCCTTTGCATGCAGGAATAGATAAGTAGTGATACATTAAAAAGAACAACTAGGAAACACTTGCTTGGAACCTGGTTATTTGTGCAGCACTTCAGCTGTCTTAAAGGTGAATAGTCTGTGACATGATCTTTTTGCCTGTTGGATTTTCTTTTGCTGCAGAATTACTTACTTAGAAGTAATCTTGCTGGAAGTGCTTCTGTCTTTCCTGTCACGTGAGGGAGGAGCATTTTGGAGCAGGTGCCTGAGAAACTAGCCAGCTTCCACCAGAATTACATCTTGGCAGTCTTTGAATTTGTAGTTTTTAAATAGTTAGGACTGGAGGAACAGGACAGTGGAGTTCCTGTGCCTTGGAATATTGGCAACTGCCTCTTCAAGTGCAAAAACTGAAGTTTTAATCAACTGCCACAGTCTCTGGCTCTCCCAAACAAATAATAGTTTTGATGAAAATCTACCTGTTTGGAGAGGTTTAAGAAGTAAATCTTGCCACTCTGCAAGTGTCTGGAGTAACCAGTAAGATTTACCATAAATACCTTTAGGTGGAAGAGCAAAAGACTGGGTAGTGTGATGCTGTCACTCTTAGAAGGAAAGTTCATTGGATCCACATGTGCTTCAAGAACAGCACTGAACCCCAGAGCTGTGAGCAATTTGAATATGACTTAAAGCCAACAGTTTACGAGGAGGAACTACAGCTCTGGTAGTAGTAGTATTTCCAAGAAACAGGTAGGTTTAAGTCCATGTATCAGAATGGTTATTGGCTCGGCTAAAATGGCTTTCACACAGAGGCAGCTACTGAATTGTTTTTCACTATTGTTCTCAGTACTTGGTTCCATGTGTCAACACATGCTGTAAGCAGGCCCAGTCCTTGAGAGCATGTTGGTTAGGTGCTGTCTGTTTTGGAACTGGGGCTTTGGGCTCTGAGGTGATGAGCAAGCTTTCAAAAGAGCTCATCCCTGTGAGAGCAGAGGAAGCTGTGCTCTGTTCAGGACACCAGAATGTGGTCACTGTGAGAACCACTCTTGGTGGGTTGGGTTAATGGTGAGTTGACAGCAGCCTGCAAAGCCCTGTCACAGAGGATGTTGCTGATGGGTATAAAGAGACATAATAAAAAGAGGCATTGAGTTAACTGTTACTCTCTTAAAAAGGAAGTATAGTTAACACACCAGCCACTTCAGAAACCCAGTCTTCAGGTTTTCCCCATGATGCCATTAACACTGGGCTTTCACTCTTGGTGTCTGATAGATTAAAGGGAAAAAATTCAGCAATTTTCTTCTAGATTAGTTAGGGAGAAGTGTATAAAGATTAATTATAGTTGGATTGTACCACCCTGAACTCCAAGAGACAGTATTTGACACTAGCAAGGCATTTAATAGTACAAGGAGCTTCTTCATCATAAGAGAGGGACTTGCCCTTTGTCTAGGTTTTCTAGAAGTTATCTGGGTCAGTATAGCACTAGGCTGATGGTGTCAGGGCAATTCCTGTAAAATGTCATTGTTTACATGCTGTATTGTGGTAGCATAGAAGGCACAGGAACCTTTCATTGTGCCTCAATATGCAGTAATTTGTTTACTGACTACATTTTTAAGCTTACAGGTTGTTTCAGCAATACTTGGCTCTAGTCCAGCGTTACTGTGTCAGAACCATGGGCAGATTCTGAGGCAATGAGCAGAATGGTGCTGTGCTAAAGATGAGGGGTAGGTGACCACACGGCATGAGCACTGCTTAATTTTCTGTGCATGAATTGGAAATCTTGCTGGAGTGCACAAACATGGTAGTATTCTACATATTGCTCTTCAGATTCTCTGCTGCAGCAATCTAAAGTAGTGATAGACTTACCTCCAAAACAACAGCTTTGACTACCTGAAGTGAAACAACTGGCATTAAACCTGTTAATAGACTCTGCTGTTGCTCTGATCAGCCAGATCAGGCCTCTTGCTGCGTGATTTTCTCCATCTTCTATCAGATGGAGTAACTATGTTACGGTTCCAACTTCTGACTCGGGTTATAATTTATATAAATTACTTTTTGAAAGTCTAGCTCATATTCTCCTTAGTATGGGAATAGTAAGACAACAATGCCAAACAGTTCTGAGGAATCTCAAACTTTTAATCAGAACATTGCTTGTGTCCATCTGACTTCAATCTATCTTTGTGGAGTTCAGCACTGACCAAGAGTCTAAACCAAGAGGTGGAACATACCGAGGTGCTGTCAAGCTTCTGGGAAGGTGTTTTCCCAAGCAGTCTTGGGAAGGGGCTTTACCAAGCATTCCACCCCTCTAAAAGGGTTACAAGTTACTGCATAGAGCAGGGGCAGAAATTCTGTACTTCAGAATGGAATTTGCATGTGCAAGAAGAATACAGACCTTTCAGATGCAATTCAGACCAAAAAACCCAGTATTTTATCAAATTTTATTTTAAAAGGGCTTTCTAAAATACTAGAGATGTCCAGGGCCTCTTTTTCAAAAGTCCTTCAAAGAGTTCTATGAGTGATGTGCAGTAGTTGTTGCCTGTGATGTTCAGCTAGATTGTATCCCAGTGCTACAAAGGTGCTGCCCATGTAGATTTGAATTAAGAACAGCAACTGCACCTTGGAGAGCATTCTTCTTCATTAAATAGAACTAGTGTTATACCTAGGACTTCCAGGTGTAAGCATAATCCTTCATTTCCAGAAATCTGATGGAAGATTTTCCCAACGTCGGACACTGACTCAGTTGATCCAAAGTCTCAGGATGCAGACCACACATAGGAAGATCTTTGCATACGGTTTCCTGCAGAAATTCATGTGAAGACATGAAATAGGTGTTTCTGTATGAAATACCTGTACTTCTTAATGTTCACTTCTGTACCTCTAGGGACCTCCTGAAAAACTTTTTTTTGAGTTTTTAATTTCTGAAGGAATGACAAGCCACATGGACTGCTAGGCAGTGATCACAAGTAATTGGGTATAAACCCACATATTGAGGGAAGGTTTTGTGTCACTCAGTGTCCTATGCTTTGTAATAAAAAGACTATCCCTAACAGGAAAGACTGTCTTTTGCTAGTTTTCTTACCTTATTTAAGGCAGGGTTTGCATTATCAAGACAAGTGTTAAACACAGCAGTTGGCTCATGTGTGTATAGTACTGCAGAGAATGCTCCCCTCTGTGCAGACTTGAGCAGCATTGTCAGTGAATGCAGGGAATGAGGCATGACAGGGCCTACGATCTCCAAACTGAATATATTCTCATATGCCAAGTGGACCCTGGCTTTGGCATTTATACTTCGAGCCTGGAGAGAAAAGCACACAGGATTAGTTTTTGATACAACAAATCAAGCCCTAATTTTCACTTGCTTTAAAACTGCAGTGCCACAGTCCCATTACAAGTTCAAAACGCTTTTCAATAGTCAACTCGCTGTTCAGCACACAAGTATTATGATGGTTTTACTGTCTTTATAACCACTCCTAAAATGTACTAATTATGATTCACAAGAATGCTCTACAGTATTAAGGAAGTTAACTGCAGAAGAACAGTCTTGAGTTACTCTGGTGGAAGAGGGCTGCATGACCTACACTGATAGTTTGTCCTTTAGTATCCACCACCTCTGTATAATGAAGTAGTTCATCACAGATGGTGAGCCATGGTTGAGAGGCTCCCTCATTGCAAATAGCTGTGATAGTTTGAGACCCTGGAAGATATCAAGAGAATAGTATTTGGAAGTCTGCTTAACCTCTTGGGTATCAGGATGTGGAATGAAAACACCAGGATTTCAGTTCAGCAGCACAGCTCTATGTGGAAAGAGATGATTTAGGGGCAGTCTTTATTGTCAGAATGCTGTCTCAGGCTATAGCAACAAAAATTGATGTGCTGTATATGAGGGAGATGATACAAAGGTGGCGTCTGATTTCCTGAGCAAAGAAACAACTTTATTTTCTTAGAGAAGGTTGTGTTACTTACTTTGAGTGTCTGCATTGTTCCGCCTCTGAAAGCGACAGGGGACAACAAAGTTGGTGGCAGCCCTGCTTGTGGACCTGCAGCAGCCACTAGGCTCTTACAGTTTATCAAGAAGTTCAGCAAGGTAAATGTGTTTGTTCCTCTCACTAATGCAAGGGATTCAGGTTTATGATCCACCTGCACTTCGTGCTTCTCCTTACGGCTGTATTTATGGGAGTCAAAGTAAAACCACAAGGAAATGAATAACATCAATGCACTACTGAAGGAAGAAACAGAGCAGTGCAACTCCAGAAGAACCACCCCTTCACCTTCCTCTGTCCAATCAAGTAATTTAAACAAAAGACCCACCAAGCTTTACACCAATTCAGATTTGTTCTTCAAATACTGAGCAACATTTTAACCTGACTTCAGATTTCATTATTAGAATTGTGAAATAAAAACACATTTTCCAGGTCCAGTGTTTTACAGCTGGCAAGTCATGCGTACTAGTTTAACTAGGAATATTGCTTCAAAGCAACAGCTGTTCTACTCTACAACTGTGTCCCTAATCTGCCACACTATTTGCAACTGTAAACCTAACCTACATGAACCTACAGCCTTTTCTTTAAAAAAATAGAATCTATGAGTCTTCCCAGTGAACAATCAGTCTGTCACCTAACAGGTGGATCTTATGGAGTCTACATTAATTATTCACAATGGCTTTTCTTCCAAGAAGAGGATCATCTAGAAATCTCTGTCATAAAGTACAAAAAGAGATGCAGAGTGTCTCCTAACATGCAATAATGTGAAGATTAATATTAAAGTTCTCAAAAGCTTTTATAAAACTTCTACCTATACCACAAAAAGGTAACATTTGCAGGGTCTTCCCCAGTCATGCACCTCAATGTGCAAAGAAAGGATACAGTTGAATAGAAATAGTATCTGGTTTCTTAACCTTATCTTGGACTCCCATTTCCTCAAGCCAAGAGAAACTTTCATCATCGTCATCATCACTTGGAGCTGCTTCCCTGGGAAACACAGAAACAGTGTTAGGAGGACAATACTTCCTATGAAGGTTTTCCCAATGGAATGTGCAGGAGTCTAGATCTCCTTGAATTCTATCATCGTAGAAGACTTAGTACATACTCTCCATCTTCCATGCAGTTGCCCACTTCAAGACTGTTGGTAACTTCTGTTTCAAAATTCCCTTCAGAGTTTTTCTGTTTTCTGTTTCTTTCTTCTACTAAAGGTAAAGAAAACTCTATGCCTTGAACAGAGGAGGAAGGCATGCAATTAATGGTTTTGTAACACGGCTAATGCACTTTGCCAATTATTCAGAGCCTACTTGGACTGGTCTCACCTTCATTTCTCATGGCTTCCCTTAAACCTCTAGTTGTGGGAGAAATTACAGCCGTGATCATGTCACTTCCTGCAAGACCAGCTGCACGGAACAGGACAGTAAACTGGTAGGTGCAAACGTAGAAGTAGGGACACAGTTTGGCTTTGAGCAGATTGTACAGAGAAGTAAAGCTGACAGACCTGCAAATTAGAATGAAACAATTCTGTATTTACCTGAAGTGAATTCTTTGTTATTGAGACATCAAGCTGGACATGGCTGGGTGGTACTGACGTGTGTGTACTCTGCACAGGTTTGAGAGCACACTGAGTGATTAATCAGATTTTCATCTATGCAGCTGTTGCACAACACAAACTTAAGCTTAACACAAGAAGGCAGTTTAAGACTTAAAACTTAAGCTTAACACAAGAAGGCAGTTTAAGGTTCAAAGCTACTTATTTCCCTAGTCTAGTCCTCAAAATAATAAGCATTCTATGGCTGGGAGAAAATAAATAATTCAAAAAGCTTTTTGATAAAATGGAAAGAACTTGTTCACTAATTAAAATCCCATTGTTTTAATAGTACAAAATATGTTGTTTCATTCCACTTACCAGTCACTCATTAGCACTTGCTGCAAGGCTTCATCCTGTGACCAAGGACTAGCCTTTCCAGCTATTTTTCTGTCTGCTCCAATCCGAGGGAACAGCTGCAACCAGGGCAGTGAAGGGTGAAGCCAGTAAACAAGGCTTTGCTGAAAGGCACAACGCAGTTCTGTGGACAGCTTTGGTTCCTAGATGTCAAAAAGTAATCTTATCAGGACAGTAAAACATTACTGAAGGCAGCATTGCAAACTATTACACTAAATACTAAAAAAATAAACAAATCCCCAGGCTTGTGAGTAAGTCACCCCAAAGAAGGACAGACAGCAACCAGCAACTACTCCATGGCTGAAGTTAAATGACCATTCATTTATCACTGTTTGCCACTGTGGGTACAAGCCATGGATAAGATTAGCTTAGGAGCCTAAATCAGCCTTAATCTTAATGCAACTAAGACTAAACCAAAACACAATCAAAACTTCACTGCCAGCATGTTTAAGGAAAGGTGCAAAGGTACATTCTCCTCTTGAAAGCTGGAGTGTTGAGCCACCACCACCAAGTCTTTACCTGTACACTCTGGGGCAAGTTGGTTTCTACAGCTCTGCAATGCTGAGCAAATCCCTGAGCTTCCTCTTGTGCTTTTAAATGTTCTGCCCAGGTAAAGGGTTGGGAGGACATAAATAGAAGTCGTGTTTTAACACTCCAGTCTGCAGGAAATTCATGTCTTGGTGAAGAGGGAACTTTGGGTACAGCAACAGATAAATGAAGGTCCTTACAAAACAGAAATATAATCAGTTATTTAACTCATGGCAATTAAAAAACCAAAACACACAACTCTGTAGCTGCCTATTTATATTCTAGCATGTTTAGGTTCACTAGGTTGCATCCCATGCTGATTTACTATACTTTTCCTGGCAGACAGACCAGATACTAGACTATGGCTACTACAGGTAACATCCTGTGCTTAGCACCCTATGAAAGACAAGTTAAACCTCTCATCTTCTCTGTGGTTTTGTGCATTTCAGTGCAAAAGCAAAAAATGCAGTTTGATCCTCAGGAAGTACTCACATTAAGAGACATAATTTAAAAAAAGATTCTGCAGACAGATTTTGTAGATTCAAAGTTACATAGAGTTTGACTGCTTACAGGCTGATCAAAATCAGTTTATATTCAGCTTACTTTTAAAATAACAGCTTCTAATACAAATATGGCATTATATTGCTTAAAAAATGCAGAAGAGGGTTTGTATTCACAGGAGTCTTTCCAAAAGTTATAGACTAGGAAGGAATAAAAAGATGAATGATTAAAAAATGGAAACTTAGCCTGAAGTTTATGAAGACAAGAATTTCCTTGCCAAACCAGTGTTTTATTCTCTCTTGGTGACTGTCATGTCAGATGCTTCCTAAAGGATCTGGGAAGCTCTAGAACAGTTTGTTCTCTTTGAGAAGTAATTCTTCTATTCTGCTAAGTTAGTCTGAGCTTAAGTTTCTGAACCTATAAAAGCACTAGACATTATCTGCTTGACACTGCCTTTCAAGGACTGGTTTTCAGGTGTTCTTTCTGAGTGCCTGGTGAAACTGTTTGTCCCCTTTCTATAGCTGAATAAAAGACTGCAGGAGATAAATAACTTTGAAGAACACCCTTATCTCAACACAACAGAAAAATAAGAAGCAAGAGAATTAAAGCAAAACACGGTAATAAAACTGGAAGAAAACACCAGGTTCTGTCAAGTAGAACTGCAACAGCAGCCGTGTCAGGCAGACAGGCTTTTAGAAGGCATAACAGGAAACGTTAAGGCAGTGTAAGAAATGTTCTTGAACGCTGACATTTGAGTGCATAATTTTATACAGAGACGGACCATCAAGTTAAACAGTTCCAGCTTTTTTGTGTGTGTGTGTGTGTGTGCGAACTAAGAGCAGCTAAAAGCACTTCGGAAGCAGCACGTGCGGTTACTACACACCTCGGTGAGGGTGCCGGTTCTTTTGGAGGGCCCTTCTCTCCCGGCAGGCTTCTCTTCACAGGCAGCCTCTAAAAGCTGAAAGAGACCAACCGGGGAGCGTGAGACGCAAAGAAAACCCCACCGCGCAGCCCTCGCCGGGGAATTTCGAGACTGGCACCAAAGCCGACCCCAGCCAGGAGCAGGGAAGCGCGGGAGCTCCAGCCCGCGTCCCCGCCGGGCTCGGCTTTCCCAGGGGGGTGACGCCGGGGCAGCGGCCCCTGCTCCCCTCGGGGCCTCTCCCCTCGCCTCCCC